CAAGTCCCTTAGGCTATGATCATTTTTCATTTTTCTTTCGGCTCCTCAGACTGGATCATTTCAATTTTCTGTCTTCCAGTTCACTGGTTCTTTCTTATGCCTACTCAAATCTGCTGTTGAACCCCTCTAGTGCATTTTTTTTCATTTCAGTTATTGTGCTGTTCAGCTCCAGAATTTCTATGTAGTTCGTTTTTATAATTTCTCTTTATTGATTGATTGGTAAGTTGCTTACCTCTTGAGCATATTTAAGACAGTTGGTTTAAAGTCTTTGTCTAGGAAGTGCAGTGTCTGGGCTTCCTCGTGGATGGTTTCTGTAAATTTAATATTTTCCTTTGAATGGGCCATACTTTTGAGTTTCTTTGTATGCTCTGTGATTATTTTGTTGCAAACTGGACATCTGAATATCCCAGAATAATTCTGGAAATCAGAATCTCCTCTATCTCCAGGGTTTACTCTTCTTACTTGTTGAAGGCTTAGCTGTGGTCAGCCAGTGTTTTGACAGAGATTTCTTTGAATGCCAGGACCTTAAAAAACAACAAACAAAAACACCTGTCCCAGTCTTCAGGGATTGGCTCTGTGCTGTGACGCTCTTTTCAAACTTAGACCATTTACAGTTCTGCCTCAGTCATCACTTCCTGCTTGCATTGAACCCGTTGGTCAGTCAGTGGTGAAAGTTTGGAGTCTTCTCAGGTCTTTTCTGAGCATATTTCTTGTCTTGGGCATGCATGTGGCTTTCCAAGTTCCCGAGGATATACATATGCTTTTGATTGCTCTAATAGCCCAAAGAAATGCTCTCCCTGGCTTTTCCTCCTCAGTTTTAACCAGTCTACTGTATGTCTCAACTGTAATTTTTTTGCCCCAGGTAGTTGCACATTTTTTTGATTTCCTTAACATATTTTCAAGCAATGCCTGCTGCTTTTCCACCCTAAGTTCCAAGATAGGCAAACCAGAGATGAGTGCCTTGTCTTAGTCCTTCAGGATGGCCCCTAATCAGGGTAGGGCAGACAGACACGATAATTTGTGAATAACGTCTGCTGTGTTCCTCTGGAACTAGGAACCAGGGTCCCACACTGACAGTGTAGGCTGCTATCTTCAAGACTGCTGCCAACCTGGGAAAGGGGCTTGGCAAGGGCAAGTAAAAACGACACAAAGCTTTTTTACTGTTTTTAAGGGGTTTTTTCCTTCTTAATACAGCATTCACTTGGTTGCTGTAAACCTTGGTTTTCCAGAGTTCTGACGAAGTTGATTCTGACAGTTTCTGGTACATTTTTCAGTGTTTCTCTGGAGGGACAGGTGTCTGAAGCTATCTACTCCACTATTTTGTTGACATCACTCTCTATTTTTAAAAACTATAATTATATGTAGAAGAGAACATCCTTAGCTTTAAAAAAGCATATGAAAGGCTCTGAAAAATTGTAAAAAAACCTGCTTTAAATTTATTTTAATGAAACATTTCCCAAGTTTATTTCATGTAAGAGCCTTTCTTATTGGTAATAGAGCTTAGCATTTGAGGAACATCTATCACTAGGGTAGGACAAGAAAAATGGTTCCAGCTCTTCAAAGCTTTGAAAGCTTTATCATTTTTCACAGTTGTTCCCTTAGCCGCTGTTATGGGGTTGAGTGTCAAGGAGAAGTGCAGAGGCAGGCATGACTAGTACAATTTGGGAACAAATATGAGTCATAACTCCTTCTCTCCAGGAGTTCTGAGACATACCTGGAAATACACAAGACAAGAGGACCTAATATAGGAGCTGTACAACTGGTAAGTGCTCAGGAAGGCATCTTTGATAGACATGGGGAGAGTGGGAGGGACACAGAAAGTGAGGTTACAACTTGTCTAGAGTGAACTGCTAGGTGATCACAAGCTGGACAGTGATATTTAAAGAGTAAGCTGTGTTTAAAAACAAAACAAATGGTTTAGTAGTGTGGAATGCTATTCTCAGTACCCTTGAAATTGATTATTTTTTTTAGGGCACCACGTAGATTCATTCTGTGGTTGGGGGTGGGAAGACTGGGAGCTGGTGCCGCTAGTGCTGGACCTACATCAGGGACCTCAGGATAGAAGACAACATTTACTTCAGGTGTTTACACCATTATTTCCTTTCCCAGACTGTGGACCCTTCCAGGGCCTGGAGAGTATCTGTGAATCATCTTGTTTCCAATAATGCCTAACAGAGAGTATTGAGGGAAAATGGACTAGATGACATGATAAGCCAACAATGCTCTTTCCTTAGCCTTAAAGCAGGAATGGAGAAAACAGGACCTCTTCGAACAATTAAAACAAACCAATCCTACATTTAGATCATTTTATATGAATGTATAGAAGAGTAGTTGTCATTATTCTGATTGTTCTTCCATTCACCTGGATAAACTTTATCTACATAAGAATAAAAATGCTGAGGGATTATGAGCATCCCTTAATTTCAGTATCATTTTGTAAATAAACTAGCCAGATAAATGCAATCATAGAACTGTATACCCTGTCAATATGTCTGTTCTTCTCAACTTGATTTATAGATTCAAAGCAATCCCAATCAAAATCCCAGCAAGTTATTTTGTAGATATTGACAAATGAATTCTAAAGTTTATATGGAGAGGTAAAACCCAGAATAGCCAACACAGTATTGAAGAACAACAAAGGCGGAGGACTGATGCTCCCCAACTTCAAGACTTACTATAAAGCTACAGTAATCAAGACTCTGTGCTTCTGGAGAAAGAGGAGGCAAATACATCATCGGTGGAGCAGAATAAAGAGCCCTGAAATAAGCCCACATAAATATAGTCAACTGATCTTTGATAAAGGAGCAAGGGCAATACAATGCAGCAAAGACAGTCTTTTCAAAATGGCGCTGGAACAACTGGACATCCACATGCAAAAAAATATAAACACAGACCTTACATGCTTTACAAGAATCAAATCAAAATGGATCACAGACCTAAATATAAAACACAAAACTATAAGACTCCCAGAAGATAACAAAGCAGAACATCTAGGTGACCTTGGGTATGGCGATGCCTTTTAAGATCCAACAACAAAGGCCAATCATGAAAGAAATAATCGTTAAGTTGGATTTCATTAAAATTAAAGACTTTTGTTCTGCGAAAGGCAATGTGAAGAAAATGAGAAGACGACAAGCCATGATCTGGGAGAAAATATTTGCAAAAGACATATCTGATAAAGGACTATCATTCCAAGTATACAAAGAACTCAACACTCAACAATAAGAACATGAACAACCTAATTAAAAATGGGCAAAAGAACCTTAAACAGAAACCTCACCAAAGAAGATATATACAGGTGGTAAAAAAGCACATGAAAAGATGTTCAACATCATGTCATTAGGGAATTGCAAATCAAAATAACAATGGGATACCACCATACACCTATTAGAATGGTCAAAATGCAAAACACACCACCAAATGCTGGTGAGGAGGTGCAGCAGTAGGAGCTCTCATGCACTGTGGTGAGAATGCAAAACGGTGCAACCACTTTGGAAGACAGTTTGGCAGCTTCTTACAAAACTAGACATATTCTTACCATATGATCTAGCTATTGTGCTCTTGCTATTTACTGAAATGAGGTGAAACATATGTCCACATAAAGACCTGCACACAGACATTTAAAGCTCATTCATAATTGCCAAAACTTGGAAACACCCAAGATGTCTGTCAGTAGGTGAATGGATAAACTGTGATACATCCAGACGATGGATTATTCAGTGCTATAAAGAAATGAGTTATCAAGCCATGAAAAGACAGAGGAAACTTACACGCATATTACCAAGTGAAAGAAGCCAATGTGAAAGAGCTACTTACTGTATGATTCCAATAACAGAGGTATTTTTGTGCTGTGGGCTGTCAATACACACAAGTAGGGGAGCTGCATCTATCAGGGCAAGAGGTACACAGGAACTCTGTATTTTCCACTCAATCGTGCTGTGAACCTAAAACTGCTCCAAAAAACGTTTACTTAAAAAACTATCCTGAAGATGAAATCAAGAGTAACAGGATGGTCCTCTGGGTTCAAGAGTGCCATTTTGCATGATGAGACCAGAAGGACCTCATTGCAGCAACATCTGAGACATCAGAATTTCTCTAGATAATCTATAAAAACCAGCCTATGAGAGAGTGGTTGGGTTTTCTTCCTGCCTGGTTAGTTTAGTGCACACAGGACTTGGACCAGAGGGATGCGGGTTGAACCCCAGCTCTGCCACTTCTTGTGATTTAAGAATGTTACTTCAGCAAACTGAGCTGTTGTCCTTATTTGTGAAGACTGAATGAGATCACATATATCAAAGAGTTATGGAAACGATCACACACCAATATAAATTGTTACTGCTGAATTATTTATAAATGTAACTTAGGAATGTCTCAGATGTGTGAGAGTTGTTTATAATGCGTGACCACACCATGCCTCCTCTCGCTGCTCAGCTCCTGGCTTTGAGAAAACACTGACGTGTAGGCTCATATTCCACACATCCAAGACAACCAGCTCAAAGCAAGGAAAGACAATCAGAGGTGAAAGAGTCCTAATCACATGGCTGTCGGCTCTGGGTGCAACTTGCAATGGGAAGGAGGGAAAGCTACACACACACCTCAGGACATAATACAGCCATCCAGCCAACAGGACAAGGGCTCACAATTCCCAAGTATCCGTTAGGTTACAGAGATGACAAAATGTAGAAGAGTGGCTCCCACACCACATGTGCGAAGGCTGAGGAGCAGCATCCACAGAGCAGAAGCCTCTGCTGCTGAGTGTCCGAGCCCCATATGCCTGGCCTTAGCACCTCTTCTCTTTCCAAGCCCAACGTGAAATAACTTGGGACAGCAAACACCTTGAGAGTTCATCACACATGACAGTCTACAATGAGACCAAATGTTAAAGCAGAAGTTTATTAAAATTCATTTATATAGTGTTTTACAGACCAAAAAATGTACAGAGTCCTTAACATTCAGGCAATCAACTCTATTCTCAGAAGTGTTTCGCAAGAAGACAGATTTCTTTGCTGTCCCTCCAGAAAGATGCTTCTGTTTATACTCCTGAAAATGATGCATTTATTACACCACCTCTCAAGAACAATCCCGTTGAGATCCCAAAACCTCTGCAGAGAGTGAAAAGAGATTAGCAGAGGACCTTCTCCCAAACGCAAGGCCTCATTCAGAGGTGTAGTGCAAGAGACATAAAACAGCGGCTGCTTCAGAGGAGTGTGCGCACACCAGGTGGGTGGGCCAGGAGAAGAGCCTGGGCGCCCAGCTGGGCGGCCCCTAGCTGCGGAGCGTGGCCAGCCGGGACTGCATGGCCTCCAGGGCCTCCTCCTCCTCCTCCTCCTCCTCCTCGTCTGTGGCCGCCATTGCTCCTGGAGGTTCAGGCTCTGGAAGGGCATCAGTCACTTTACTAGGTGCTTTGCCCAAGGCCCCTGAAGAGAAACAGAGCAAACAGATGAACAAAACATCGGCTGAAGGAAGTGGTCCTGCTCTCCCCTGCCTGTCATGCCTGGGTTGGTCTAACGAGAAACAGAAAAGGGCAACAAATCAAGCTGCTGTGGTGGGGTTTCGCTCCCTAGGACAAATGTGCAAACACCAAATTGTAATGATACCAAAGTTATAATAACGGTAAGGATTTTGATTGTAAGAATTTTGGTTCTGAAGCTCTTGATCTAAATTCCTAAACAGTGATGAATATTTAATTTTCAAGATTCATGAAGATGTCAAATCTCCTCTCTCAGTAAAACTAAATTGTTTCCAAACCTTCACAAAATGTTTTCCTGGAGTAACTAGCCTTCTTTCTCCCAACAAGATAACACAAAGAAATAAAAATTAAATCTCACCAATTATATTTTTTATTAAACATAAAACTCAGAAAATCCAGAAGTAAAAATAAAGTTTAAAAACTCATTAACCATCACTCAGAGATAACTATTTTAATTTATCCCCCTTGCAGACTTTTTCTGGGCATGTTTTTTACACAAAAGTGTGTATTTAAGTAACAAGGCTTTTTCCACATAATATATTGTGAACATCTTGCCATGTCAATGAAGATATTTCTACATTATCACAACTATAAAGTATTCCATTAAAACAGATATAACGATTAATCCAATCAATATTCTATCATGAGGCATTTCAAAGTTTTGAGCATTATAAATAGTGCTCACTACAGACATCCCTGAGTTAAATCTTCAGCACATCCTTAACTTCTAGAGTAACTCCCAGAAGTCAATCTGTTAGGTCAAAGGCTTCTGACAGATACTGCCAAACTGCTTTCAACAAAGTCTATACCGCAAGTGGGACTCCCAACAGTACGATGTGAGCGCAATATTCCCCCTTAACAGGTTGAAAACTCTAGGAATTTAAAAAATGCTTTGTATTCTTTTAAAAGATGGTTCTAGATATTGTGCCTAGCTTTCAAGAAATAACTTGCATAATCTGAAATTAAAAATGAAGAAGTAAGGGAGTTCCAGCCTACAGAAAAAGCTACTAGATAATTTAGTGACTGCAGGAAGAACAGCCATAAAAGGAGGGGAGAAAGAGGAGACTCTCGGGGTCATACCTGCTGTAATTTCGAAGAGAATTTTGTCAATTTCCATTTCTGCTGCTTCTTCCATTTCCTCCTGATCATCCATGCTTTCAAAAGTGTCCTCTAACATCTCCTCTATGATCCCAGCCTAAACACAGAATAAACCAGGTCACTTCCCTCAACTGTTAAATCTGCTCCCAACAGACAGCTCTATGGGTCCAGCACCAGCCGAGCTCCTGTGTCTCCAATCCAGTCTGCTGTTTCGAGGGCTAACACACGAGACAGTTGGCTGCAGGAAGCACTGCATGCTGTCTGTCCTCTCTGCAGAAAGGCCAAGGGCCAAAGGGAAACTGCTCTCCGAAGTTAGCACCAAGGTTAGAGGGGGCCTTAGCAGCAGAGCTTCACAAAGTGACTCAGACCCTAAAGGCACTTGGGGAACAACCTGCTGACAGATGAGAGGACGTCCTGAGCTGTCTGGTGAAGCATCTGCCCTGACATTGCAAATATAATCTGTGAGTGCAGGAGGTGAAACACAGTGTGAAAACTGGCTGGAGTCATAGCAGATACTCTAACAACAAACACCAAGAACATGGTGAGGGCTCCCCAGAATCCCAGAGAGACCTGACGAGTACTTCAGAGCTCCAGGTACAGCTGCTGGCACCGGGTCAGTCCATTGGGTCTGGCAAGGATTGATCAATTCACCAAAGCCTGATCACCCACTCCCCAGAGAGATGGCCAGACAGCATTTCTGGACCCATCAACGTAATGCCCAGACTCTACTGCTTGCCCTGTGCTGGCAACCTGACCCAGCCAGTCACCCTCCTTTGTTCTCGGGGAGCAGGGCACCACTGTGGGGCACAAGAGAACCATTCCCTAACACGGGCCAACACAAGCAGACCCACAGTCTTCCCTGCTGAACAGCGTCCTCAGCTCCCAGATAAAGCACTACTGACTGGTTCTTTTGGTTTTGAAGCAAAAGGTCAGAACAGCCCCCTCCAATGTCAAAAAGAGGGCCGGTGGCATCCCTGGGCAGAAGAGGTGGGAAGGGGCTGACGGAAAGCCTGGGGTCAGGCCTCTGAGAAGCTGCCAGAGAAAAATCTGACTGCTTTGTCACCTGTGAGAACTGAGCCCCGTGCTTTGTCCCTCGACACTCCACTGATCTAAGGAGCAGGTCGTGTGCGGCCACCCCAGCCCAGGCTCCCTGCTCTCAGCCAGGGCACAACTCTCACTGGCCGTGCTGATGAGAGCAGGTTGAGAGCCAGCCCGTCTCCTGCCAGACCATATGAGTGACTCCTAATGACGTGAATCTAGCTAGTATCATATTGTGCCCATTCACAGACCCTTTCCTCAACCCAAGTGAACAAATAATCAAATTCACCTTCCTGGTCACACAGGTGGAGCCTCTGGCCTGAGGACATCATCTTAGTGCTGGAGGCTACTGTAGAAGAGGTTCAATGCATACTCCCTAACTGGTTAAAAGAGTCTACCAGGATCCTGATTGTTAACAGCCCTCCACATCCTGGAGGGAGAAGGTGCCATTCATTCACTCATTCATTCAATCAATCAATCAGCTGGTAACCATTCATCAAATGCCTGCTCTGTGCCACACCACAGGCCAGGGTCTGGGGACAACGGGAGTGACTAAGATCACATCCCTGCCTTTGAGGAGCTGGGCCCCCGTCAGAGGCTTCAGTCTGTACCTGAGGAGGCATCCTCGGCTGAATTCAGTAAATGTTTACTATCTACTACATGCAAGTCGTCCTCCAAATCTCTATTACTTTCAGGATTCGGAAACCATTGTGGAAAAGATCCCAGATTGCAACAAAGACATCCCCTTTCAGATCCTGGTGGTTCCAGGAGTTAGAATGAGCAGGCCTGAAGTCACTCGAAGAATTACCTGTTATCCAGTTCTACATGGACAGCCACTACAACTTGGGGGATGAGACATCCACACACCACTTTTTTCTTTTTGGTGAGGAAGATTGGCCCTGACCTAACATCTGTGCCAATCTTACTCTATTTTTCTGCCTGTGGGATGCCGCCTCAGCATGGCTTGATGAGTGGTGTGTATATCCATGCCTGGGATCTGAACCCATGAAGCCCAGGCTGCTGAAGTGGACTGTGCAAACCTAACCACTATGCCACTGGGCTGGCCCCCACACACCACTTTTAAAGGACACACCCTCCTGACGTGGTTCCCTCCTTAGTACTACTGCCCAAAGATTTCTCACTCCAAAGACCTGGGCTTTTTACGTTGCCTTCCTTTTCCATCAATCTTCTCCAGTTCCTCGCAGCAATGCCGTAGAACTCCATATATAATTCAAGTTCATAAATGAAATTCTTTAGGAGGACGGGAAGTAATTTCTATGCATGAGCTATAAACAAGAATTTCAGGTGTACAATCTTGGCTTTCAGGCCACAGGTTCAAAGCACGAACCAGCACCAGAATGAGGCACTTCCTGTCACCATTTCCTCTGAGGCAGCTCTGGCAGTAAGGTCAGACATCTGTGCCCCAACCCCAGATCTGTCACTTACTACCAAGGTCACTTAGGTAAGTTACCTGGTAACTTGAAGACTCAGCTTCCTGCTGTGTAAAATGGGAGAAAAAAATAGCTACCTCACAGGGTCGCTGGGCCAGTGTGTGTGATGCACCACCGGCTGGCAGGGGGCTCAATGACAACGCCCTCAGGAGCCCTGACCCTGTCTGAAGGCCACCGTATAGGTCCTTGCCAGGCCCTGATCCTGGGAGTGGCAAGTATTTATTGCTTTTTATTTGGTTCTCAGTCTCTCCTTTTTAGTCTCAAATAGGGGTCAGCAAACTACAGCCCACAGGCCAAATCTGGCCCACTGTCCATTTCTGTAACTAAAGTTTTACTGGAACACAGTCATGCTCAGTTTTTTACATATTATCTATAGCCGCTTTTACACTAAAGAGCAAAGTTGAGCAGTTACAACAGAAATGTGCAGCCCACAAAATGTAAAATACGTTTACTATTGGGCCCTTTACAGAAAATATTTGCCAATCCCCGGTCTAGAACGAGAGCCCTCGCCAGCTTCACTAACACTGCCCTGGAGCAGTTGGAGGGACCTGGGTTTTTCTGTTTCCTGCTCATGTCAGAGCCTGTAAACCCTCCTAGCTCCCCGAATCCTGAACAGGTGCTCCCTGGATCCCCCACCTTTCCTAGGGCTCTGGATCTACTTTCGCTTCTTCTAAGGAACACTCTGGCAATCTGACCCAGCCTCTGCCAAGCTCAGCTCAGATGAGTTCAACCAGTGTTAAAAGCTGCTCCTCTGTCCTCAGAATCATTTCTGTCTGGCAAAAGTGGTCTGTCCATTCCTGTCCACCCCTAGCCCCAGTCCCTAAGGTGACTCTCAGTGGTCTGGAAGGAGACAGGGGAGCCCTAGGTCACCTTCATCATCTCTTTGGATAGCTCCCGCATGGTGGCCTGGATTTCTGGGATCTTCACAAGACTCTGCATGGCCTTCATCACTTCTGTGCTCTTCTGCAGGGAACCAGCCACTCGCAAAACCGCTGAAAGGGAAAGATAACGGTTAGGATGCTCAACAGAAGATGACGCAGGATGGAATAGAGAGAGACAGCCAAATTACAAGCTATTCTAGTAAAAGGCAGCAGCAGTAGGTGGACTCCCAAGGCTATTTCTGTACCTACGGAATACATTACTGAGCTAGCTGACCAAGAGACTGATGTTTCTAAATTGTGTGTTACTTCGCCGACAATAGGTACAAACTGAGCACTCACAGCAACTAGCCAGCCTGGAGAGTGGCCTGAAGGCCTGCATCTGACCTTCAGCGAAGGCAGCCAGCTAGGAGTGACTGTGACACTCTGGGCACATCACACATGGGAACAACAGCCCTAGACCTTGCCGGGGCCACAACGGAAAACAGGAGGCTTTAGGCTCCCCAAGTAGAGCTCCCTATCCACCAGCTGATGGATGGCAGCTGTTCTGTGAGGACCCAGTCACTGGTCTTGAGGAAATGAGAGAAATCAGGATAAGATGTAGTGAGTTTGCGTGTGTGTCAGCGTAAGGTGGTCACAGTTGCTTGCTACAGAAAAATTCTCTGTAGTCTGAGATCATATACATGCTATATTCTCTATAAGAAATCACCGTAGTAGCAATGATCATTTCCCCCCCAAAGTCTTTAACATGTCAAAATAAAAAGTTGGCAACCCCTCAAATCTGTTTTGGAATTTCCTGACACTTGAAAGTTCTGAGAACTGCTCTACATCAAGCTGTTCACCAAAACCGGCACGCAAACCTCCCCAAGCACGGCAGTGCCCCTCCGCCAGGAGTCCCTGCAAACTGACCTCCCTTCGAATCCAGACGCTAGGAAGCTTTCTCATCTACGGGAAAACAAGAATGCCCGGGAAATGCCTAGTGACACACACAGCATTTGTGATCTTTCTAAAGGAGTAAGGAAGTTTGCTAGTTGCAGAGAATGCTTCATTCCCCTTAACTTTGGAATGGGAAAGTAAAATAGTTACCTATTTATTAAGATTAATATAATTATAGAGGAAGTGTCAAGAATCTATATGGCTGAAATAAGCAATAAATTATATGTGCCATTATAATGATATAAAAAAGACAGAAATTCTAAAACGTTAATGTTACTACTGACTATTGTAAAAAGGTAAGTGATGGGAAGAAGAGAAGGGTAAAAATAAAGCAAATTCCCCATAATTCTCTTTGAATGATAGAAGTTTGATGTCTACATGGGTCTACATGGGTCTACATAGGCCCATGTTTTATCCTAATTTGCATGTTGAGTCCGTATCCCAGAGAGAGTGCCCGAACATGATGTGTTCAATAAACATTTTTTGAGCTGAATTAGTAAAAACAAGAAAAAAGATGTGAGACAGAGAAAAAAACATGGTGTGACAAGCGTCAAGTTAAATACTGAAAAATTTGTATTTTGACAAAGGTATTTCTGATTGTCGAAACAAGAAAAGGAAGAGTCAATACAGTGGGGAAAAGAGGAAACAAAAATGAACTTAGAAATAAAACTAATTCCAAAAAGATTTAACTTGATAACTAATCAGAGAGGATTGGGGAAGAGGATTTTTAAAAAGCCAAAATAAATGTATGTTGTACACTGGAAACTCAAAGACGGTACATTTATAGAGAGGAAAATAAAAGACTACACTAAAATGTATTTTCTATGTTCCACAAGGAAAGAAGCATGTATGGCAGATAAAAATTATTTTATAATAAAAAATAGTCCACCCCTACAAGAGAATGAGAAGACAAGGCAAAAGCTGGAAGAAAATATTTGCAAAACACATATCTGATACTATTATCCAAAGTATACAAAGAACTCTTAAAACTCAACAATAAGAAAATGAACAATCCAATTAAAAATGGACAAAAGATCTAAATAGAAACCTCACCAAAGAAGATATACAGATGGCAATAAAGCTCATGAAAAGATGTTCAACATCATATGTCATTAGGCGATTGAAAATTAAAGCAATGAGATACCACTGTACATCTATTAGAATGGTCAAAACCTAAAACACAGACAACATGAAATGCCGGTGAGGAGGTGCAGCGACAGGAACTCTCCTTCATTCCTGGTGGGAAAGCAAAATGCTACAGCCACTTTGGAAGACAGTTTGGCAGTTTCTTACAAAACTAGACATACTCTTACCATGTGATCCAGCAACTGTGCTCCTTCGTATTTACCCAAATGAGTTGAAACATATGTCCACACAAATACCTGCACATAGATGTTTATAGAAGCTTTATTCATAATTGCCAAAACTTGGAAGCAACCAAGATGTTGCTTTCAAGTGAACAATGATAATGGATAAAGTGTGGTACATCCAGTTAATGGAATATTATTCAGCACTATAAAGAAAGGAGCTATCAGGCCATGAAAAGAAACAGAGGAAATGTACATGTGTATTACTAAGTGAAAGAAGCCAATCTGAAAGGCCCACATACCGTATGATTCCAACTATAGGACATTCTGGAAAAGGCAAAACTATGGAGACACTAAAAAGACCAGTGGTTGTCAGGGGTTGGCGGGGGGAGGGATGAATAAGCAGAGTATAGAAGATTTTTAGCTATAAATATTTTACGATAAAAAAGAATCTCCAAGATAAAAAGGTTAAAATTCTACAGAAAATGTTAATGTTAGCATTACAAAAACTGGCTGACATTTAAAATGAGAAAGAACAAAGTCACACAGAGGATGATGAAATAAAATGAGCAGTGTTTCACGGTTACAGCTCTGTCTGCTAAGCCCCTCCCCAGCCCACCCCTGGGCCTTTCTGCAGCTCTTCCGGTCTCCCAGGCTCCCTCCCGCTGAAGGGCCCTGGCACTCATCCCTCCCTCGGGTGCACTGCAGGCCCCGCTGACAGCTCTATACGGTGGGGACACAATGGGCAGATTTGTTTTTTTATATGGTACCCTTCACGGATTTGCATGTCATCCTTGTGCAGGGACCACGCTAATCTTGGTCAGCTTCTCATTTTGGGACGTGTACTGCCCAAGATTTGATGTTGAGCACTAGATTTCTTTTGTATTTGGAGAGGAACTCATGATTTTATTCGCAGTGCCTAGCATTGTGCCTGACATGGCTGACATCAAATACTGGTTGAATAAACCAATGAATGAATTTAGAGAACAACAGAGAAAACTATCATGTTCAAATTGGATTAAAAAAATGCTAAACATACTAGTGTCTTAATAGCAAACAACATTGAGGTGGTTTTACAAAGACTCAGGTGCTCCTCCAGATAATGACATATTTAGTATTAGGTCAGAAGTGCATTTTTCCTTTTTTGTATTGACCATAAAAACTCCAGAATGTTTCTTTATAGAAATAAATAAAACAGTAACCAATTTCATATGGCAAAAGGAGAGGGAGGGTTTTCAACTAACAGAAACTAGTTCTTCCAAAATTTTCAAGTACAGACACAAAATGACTGCATACTTGTGTCAAAACCAGACCAACTGATCTAGGAAAAGAAACTAAAAAACAGAAATAAACATAAAAGTATTAATCTTATAGCAGATTATGTAGAGAATTTCGAACATACACAAAAAAGTAGAGAAGTGTTATTTCACCAAAGAGGAGATGTGGATGGCAAATAAGCACATGAAAAAACGACCTACTCATTAGCCATTAGGGAAATGCAAATTAAAACTACAATCAGACAGCCCATCAGAATGGCTAAAATAAAAAACAGTGATACTGCCAAATGTTACAAAGGATGCAGAAAAACTGGATCACTCACTGGCAGGTGGGAATTTAAAATAGTACCACCACTCTGGCCAACAGCTTGACAATTTCTTATACGCAACCATAAATTCTTCTCCTGGGCATTTATCACAGAGAAATGAAGACTATATTCAAGCAAAAACCTGTAAACTTTTATAGCGGCTTTATTCATAATAGCTGATAACTGGAGACAACCTGGAAGTTCTTCCACAGGTGAATGGTTAAACAAACTGGTATATCCACACCATGGAATACTACTCAGCAATAAAAAAGGAATGAACTAGTGATACAAGCAAAAACTGAGGTTAATTTCCAGAGAATTATGCTGAGTGAAAAAAAGCCAATCTCAAGAGGTTATATACTGTCTGATTCCATTTATATAACATTCTTGAAATAACAAAATTATAAAATGGAGAACAGATTAGTGGTTGCCAGAGATTAAGCAGGGAGTGGGGATGGAGGGAAGTGGGTGTAGTTATGAAAGTGCAAGATAAGGGATCCCTGTAGAGATGGAAACTGGAAACGTTCTGTAGCTTGACTCTATCAGTGCCAACAGCCTGGTTGTGATATTGCACTATAATTCTACAGGATGTTACCACTGGGGCAAAACGGGTAATGGGTACACAGAATTATCTGTATTATTTCTTACAACTGCATGTATGTGAATCTACAATTAGCACAAAACAAAAACCTTAATTTAAAAAAAACTCCTCAGAAAAGAGTATAAAAATCCTCAGAAAAGACTGTATTCCCATGCGGAGAATAAATGTAGCTTCGAGCCTCTCAACAGCAAAGGCACAAAGGTTAATAGGGTTCAGGGCTGTGGGACGCTCCCCGGCAGAGGCACACTGTTTCACCGGGAAAGATGTTTTTTTTCCAGCACTAGGTTCTAAGATAAATTTTGTACACAATCTTTGACTATACCAGTAATTAATCGTATAAAAGTAACAGAAATATTCTTTGTATGGCTGTTCCTTATCCATTAAAAATAAAAAGGAACACTATGAAAACACAGCTCAGAAAAGGCATGTCTGTGGGAAGCAAAGCTAAAGGGGGTGAAAACGGCTTTCCAATGAGCTTGCTACAGGAATAAGCTTTACAACACTAGACGGACGACTGTCTCGTGTCACTGTCGCTTAATGCCAATTCCGTGTTCTTACACCACACTTACAGCTGAGTAAAATAAGTATTCATGCGAATAACAACTAAAATTAAATATGAAACAAATGGAAACAATCAAATTGCTAGGAAGGAAGATGCTTTCACCCTTTAAAAAATTTCTTAATA